AAAAAAAAAACTTCATCTCTCAAGAGGCGGTTTGTGCGGCCTATTTGGTGCGGGGAATCAAGAGAGCACGCGAGGAAATACCTATCGAAGTCGAAGGTTGCCGGGATTGTGGTGTCGATCGTCTTCACGTCAATACATTTGCTGATTTTTTGTGTACCTAATGCTCAGAATATGGTGGAATTGGAGGAAGGTGGGCGTGAAGAAAAACGGAGAAGATGAGGAATGGTTGTATGTAGAAAAGATTATGAAGAGTAATGGAGGTTACCTGGCCTCAACCTTGCACGACCAGAGATTGTTTATTTAAAGTTTATATGGGGTATATAAAATACGAAGGAGTGCAGTAAACATATAAACAAATTATACGTTAGTTATACAAAACCTATACTATGTTGTTTTTTTAAGTGCGCAAAGTTGTTAGTTGAACTTTGTAAATGTTATGTAAAGTAGACATATGTTTGAATTGATAAGCTCTAAGTTCAATTTGGTACCATTCGATTTGGATTTTGCAGACATTCAGAATTGTGTATTATGTTTTATCTCGTTTCTATGTTGTTTATCTAGTGTATAGCTATATGATTAATATTAGAGAACTGTCAGATCATGTTTATCTGATGTATATATACAATATATCTGAACATATATATATATATATATATATATATATTTGGTGATTATTAGCAGGGGCGGATCTAGCAAATATAACGAGGGGGGCCCTAATTATTTAATGAACAAAATTTAAGATATCATAACGAAAAATGCAAATACAAAAACATACATTCATAGTCGTTCTTTAGGAGTTTTCATGATCTGATATCGCTCGATAATAACATCATTATCATTTTTCAAGACGATTTTCATTTTCTACAAAAACTAGTAGTCTATCATTTATTCATTCATCACTCATTCGACTGCTCAATCTATACGTTCCACGCTAACTGTTGCAACCAGTAAAACTAATGCCAAAGTTTGTAAACCATCAAACTTCCGGTCGTATTTTCTTTTTGTCCAGTGACACCAGAATTTCCCTCAAATCTATTTGGATTCAAAATATCTCATTTTGAGACAGTTTCACAAGCACTTCGCTGACATCGCCTTTTATGAAAATATCTTTCCACCGCTGATATACAAAAAATACTATTTTAAATTACAATTAATAAAATTTTCGATTTCGGCACATCACTCTTTAAAGAACTATAAGCACTTTAGAGATTTAATTTGCAATTTCAACAAAAGAATATATTTGTCACTACTTATAAAATAAAAAAAAAAAAAAATTATCTCCACCAATATCAACATAAAGGGATTTCGTTACCTCGCAAGTCGTCTTCTCGAACAATTGAAACAAAAATTGATAAGTTTTTTTTTTTTTTTTTCTTACTTTTTCCTCTCTTTCTACTCTCATTTTTCCCTTCTTTTTCTCCTTTTATTTGCCCCTGATCTTTCGTGAATTGCTTGCTGTCAGTTCTGATTACACAACCATTAGCTAATTTATTTGTTAATGCCTTTATTTATATTAGTCTTAATTATTTGGGCTTATTTACATTTTTTTTTAATGTATGGGCAATATTACATGGGCTATATATATATGACCTTTTTTTTCTTTTTAATTTTCCAGTGTTGGCCTAGGCCCACACTGTTCCCTATAAGCCTCCGCCACTGATTATTAGCCAGCATATATACAATATATTTGAATTTATTTTAGCAAAGAAGATTTCACGAAAAACAATTTTTTTTTTTTTTTCCAATCCCTAAATTCTAGGCTTCAGATTTGTTATTATTTTTTTTTTTTGTTTCCTTTTTGCGTGCAGGTTTTTAGCCGTAATTAAATGCATGTTTAATATGCAGAGAGAGAAAGTTACAGTCACCAGGTGCGAGAAAACTTACTTCGTAGATATGGAAAAAAGATCACAACGAAAATCTATTTTGATGAAAGTTTATAGAAATCATAAATGTGTAAATATCTACTATAGAGAGTCTATATATGTAAATTTCTCAAACAAAATGAAAGGAAAGATGTGCGGCAGACTGGGCCATAGAGAGACTTGGTCCTGATGGCCTGACCCTTTCTCCCTTGCAGGCCCACTTATACGCTCAATCTAGCTCTCAATCTTCTTTAAGATTCATCATACACCAAACTCAAGATCACAATAGAGAGAAAGAGAGATAGAAGAGCAGAAAAGTTTGTACCTTTATTAATCAGCATACTAGATATATATTGGGTTTAGATTATGTAACACAAATAACTTAATCTAGCTAGGGTAATAAGCTTTTGGCCCAATATAACTAATAATAATGGTAATAGCCTTCTGGCCAGTCTTAGTTATAGTAATGTTCACCATAATATATTTATAACACTCTTCCTTGGACATTACTACATTTCTCATTAAAACCATGCTAATAAAAGCCCAATATGAAAAAAAAAAAAAAAAAAATTAGTCAAGAGGAGCACATGATTTGTAAAAATTCATGTGTTTTACTGTCTGCCCCATTAAAAACCTTTAACTAATAAAGTCAATGAGAAAAACTTAGTTAAGGAAAAAAGAGTACAACACTTGGTATTCAGGATCTAATCTTCGAGACTTTTGTTTCACCTCCTTGAAGACAATTGTCTTCCCAACTTACGTATACCAATACCATAAATGTATCTTTCAAAAGTAGATGTAGGAAGAGATTTGGTAAATAGTTCTGCAAAATTCTCGTTAGATCGTAATTTTTGTACAATAATCACATCGTTTTTCTGAAGCTCATGTGTGGGTAAAAGAATTTTGTAGCGATGTGTCTTGTCATGCTTCATTTAACATGCTCACTACTCATTTATAAGACACAAGCTGCATTGTCCTCATAAAGGACGGTGGAAATTATATCATTAGAAATTCCACACGATCCATGAATATGTTGGATTAAGGATCTTAACGATACACATTTTCGTGAAATCTCTTATAATTTTAAATATAATATTCATATATATTACTTATGATATTTAATTTTTATTTTTTTGCATCTACTCATGTGCAAAGGAAAGTATTAGTTCATTATCAATAATATAAGTTGATGAGAATAAAATGTATTCTCTTGATGTGCATTTACTTGCAATTTATTATTAATAATCATGGTAAGCGCATGTGGCGTCAGAATAGAAGATTTTTGTACTCAAAGTCGAACGTGGTTGAGATGACAATTGCTTGTTGATTATTACATCAAATGAACAAATAAATGAATTTTTTAATTTAATAAATCACACAAAAACAACCATATAATAGAGCGTGGTTGGGTTTAGACTCATAATTGGGGCTGGTATATATGTGTGAGAATAGAAATGCTCTCCTATCCACGGTGGGTACATGTTAATATGTCCACCGTGTAGGTGACATGCACTTATTAGAGCATCTGCAATGCTTTAAGTCTAATTTTGTCTATGTGGAATGTAAATGAACTTAAGTCTTGGATGATATGGACAAAAATATATAAAATTAACAAAATCTACTCCAATGCAAGGAGACTAGGTCTCTACTTGAGTCTAAAATGGACTTAAGGTTAGACCGAGTCTTTTTTTCTTGTTGCCACATCAGCAAGACCAAGTCCACTTACACTTGCATTGGAGAACATATTTTTTTAAATTGAGTCTATTTCCGAGGTGGCATTCAATTTTTCTTGATTGAACCCAAAGCATTGAGGATGCTCTTAGTGATGTTAATATGTTTTACTAATGAGTGCATGTCACCTACGCGGTGGACATATTAACATGTGCCCACCGTAGGTAGATGAACATTTCTCGGTGTGGGAATATTCCACTTACACAAGTTCATGATTCATCCCAGTCAAAGTATCGTATTTGGTTGCAACAAGAATTCATCACTTAAAAGGTAAATAATATGTTTGGTTGGAATCATTCTATAAAACCATATGGTTTATGACAGATTATGAATGCCTAATGTCTATATTCTTTTTTTTTTTTTTTTTTTTTTGTTTTAAGAGAACTCAAAGACAACTTGAATACGTTTATCTTGTATGGTCTGCGAAATCAATTGCTTTGAGTAATAGATTTTACTTTGATATGTTTAATGTTTTTTTTGTTAGAACTCGGGAAGAGAGTGCGGTCTCACCAATTGTTGATGAGAGGAGTAGCCCAATATGCTTATATAATAGATTCATTTTCCCTATAGAATCAATGTGTGATAATTCACAAGTGATATTCCATCATTTTTTATTTTACTAAACGATAGTTACCGAATTTTACAAAGAAACGACCCAAGGCTTACTAATCCAATGAAACCACCAAAAAAGTGGAATCACGGAGGAATGCTAACAGAAGCACTCTAAACTAAAAACAAGAAACAAGCTAAGAGTACATGCACTCGGCAGTGACAACAGCAACTAAAACCGGTATGCTAGACTCAACCAACCAAAAGCAAAAACTAAAAAGCCAACAAGTGGAGAAAATGCTTCTACAAGGGGAGAATCACACCTAGCTAAACACTAAACACACACGATAAAATAAGGCCTCCCCAACTCCACACAAGAAACCGCGACGAAAATTAAAACTAGCAACCGAACTAATCTAAAACTCACAATGAATTTCCTTAGTAATTAGTAGTTTAACTAATTATCCCTATATTATTTAGTAATTGGATTTATTTATAAGATATTTAGTTATCATAGTATTGATTTTACTTTTCATAGATTAAAATTCTAGTTCTCGTAGGATTAGACATAGTTTATCTTTTTAAATACGTTGTCTTTTGTTCAAGTTTTTCACATGATTGAATTAATAAAAAAAATCGTCCCACTTGGGCACAAAACTCTTGTTAAAATTCTTGTCGAGTTTTATCGCAAAAATCGTGTAACGCAAAGACTAAAAATCCGAGCTTTTCACAATTTATCGCGAAGAATCAAGGCGGTTGGCGCGAGCTCGAAACAAACCAAGTTATCGAGATACGTGATCTCCATCACACTTCTGGTGCTCCAACTAGCCGCCTAACAAACTTCCAAAGTCTTCTAGAACATTCATCTTAAATATGATTTCAAGTCGTGAACGAACTAAAATTTCATGTAATAAAGTTCTTCTTCCAGGAGGGGATGGAATTACAAATTTCAAGGGTTAAATTAAGGGTAAAATTGTGGTAGCGTAAATGCTTAATTGTTACTACCTCAATTACATAGAAATATAGAATAGAAAGAATAAAGAAAGGTAAAAACAAAAGGTAAATTAAGTTAAAGTTAAAGGTTTGAAAGATTGTTACACCCAGAATAAATCACGGTACATGGATGAAGCTCACATCCTCACAGCGTACCCCATTTTCGAGGCATTTTGGTAACTTTTCAAGACAAACATAACCAATCAAAAAAATCTAACCTGATCAACATTCCCTCTATAGAAAGAAAGAAAAAAAAAAAAAATAAAAGGAAAGACTACAATTACACTTCTCATCTCATGCAGTTTCCCGCTTATTCACATCGTGTACAGAGAAGAAAAAATTAAAACGAGGTAACAAAACAATCACTTTTTCACCTGCTCCACCTTGGCTCGAATCTTCTGTTCCAGAACCGATACCTCTGTCTCCAAACCAAACATCCGATTCAGCGCGTGCATGTTCTCCAGCGTCTCACCCAGCGTCCGGCTGTCACTCCCATCACACCTCAGGTGCTGCATTGGCCCGTGCAACAACTTATTCACAATCCCCCGGCTAAGGTCGTCCACCGCCTTCCTCGCCTTATTCGGCAAATCATCCCCCATCCTCGACAGGCACTTTTCCAGCTCAGCCGCCCGTATCCTCTCCGCATAAGCCCGCAGCTTCTTGATGGTAGGCACAGTCTCCAGCGAATCCCTCCAAGCCGCAAACTGCCCCGACTCCTCCGCTATGATCGCCCACGCTTCCCTCGCCTTGCGTGCCCTGTCCTCCTTGTTAGCTGCCACAACTTCCCTCAAATCATCCACATTGTACACAGCAGGCCCCACCTCCCCCACGCATGCCCCCACATTCCTAGGCACCGATATGTCCACAAACATCTTAGGGCCCGGCACGAGGCCCGCAACGTCTTCTTTCACAAACAGCAGCGTCTCGGAGGCCGTGCTCGTGAAGATCACGTCCGCCTCGGCAGCACACCCCATCATCTCGTCGAGCGGTTTGTAAACGACCTCGATTTCTTTGATCTCGTCGCGGATGACGGACACGCGGGCCTCGGATCGGTTAACGACGACGACGCGCGGACAGCCTTTCGCCGCGAGGTGCTTCACGACGAGCTTGCCCATCTTTCCCGCACCGACGAGGAGGAATCGGGAGGTGGAGTGGGCCCCGGAGGGGAGCTTGGAGATGGCGAGCTCGACGGCCGCGGAGCTCACGGAGACGGCGCCCGCGGCGATGTTGGTCTCGGAGCGGACGCGCTTGCCGACGGTGATGGCGTGCTTGAAGAGGCCGCTGATGTTGCGGCCGAACCCGACCACGCCCTGCCCGGTCTTCACCACCTGCTTCACCTGGGACAAGATCTGGCCCTCGCCAAGAACGAGAGAGTCGAGGCCAGCCGAGACCTCAAAGAGGTGCTGGGTCGCGTCATTGTCGTACAGGAGAAATCGGTGCTCGCAGATCTCGGTTATGGGGATGCCGCTCGTCTGTGGGAGGAGATGATGGTAAAATTTAGTATGAGCTCAAATCGTAACGTTTCTTAAATACCCGAGAAAATACGCGAGGTTTGTTGAGGTGCTACAAGAGCACGATGGGGAACTTTGAAAAGCTATTTTAGGAGATTTCGGAAGTCCAATTTTTTTCATCAGTATTGCCAAAAAGGGTACTTTTTCCAACTCCATCTTGGACAGTTTCCAGCAACATGGGAGTATTATTGACGAAAACAGTTTTGGAAACGTCAAGGCAACTCCAGTAAATATGCAAGACGGTAAATAACAGAAGAAACGGAACATTCTGGTTCTACTTTACTAATATGAACAGAATTTTCAGCATCCAATAGGTATAAATAATTTTCGTTGATCAAGGAGTTTGTTGTATAGTTCCCATATATTGACGTCCAAGAAACAAACACACAACACAGTCAATATGGTAAGATTAAATTTGCAAGATTCACAATAGAACTCTACCTTTGACATCCACTCGGTAACTTCTTTAACACCTCGATGCCTGGAAAGGGCAACAACATATATTTCCATCCGATTGCAGGTACTAAGAACGGCAGCTTCTTCAATATGATTCAAACCGCAAAGCTCGCCAATAGCTCGTGGCCACTCGGCTTCAGGAATAGCTAGTTTCTCACGCATTTCGACGGGTGCTGTGTGGATGCTAAGACCAATTACCACTATACTGCTTCTTTCTTTTGTGTATCCTGCACGAAATCCACAAAACAAGATATCAAGAATCAAGATCGTTTAAAATCTACTGAGAAGAAGTTTGAGGTCCAACTTGTGAACAAACCAGTATACAGAAATCATGAGCAATTTTTCATAATTTAGTTATACGACAATGATTAACCGAAACAGGAAAAGCATCTGTACTGCACCATTCCTTATTCCTCAACCTATCAACTATAAGAGAAAGACATAATTGTCACAAATAAGCTTCTTTCATATCTCCTCGTACTTTTTTATTCTTGTTTATCTTTAACTCTTTATTTCTATTTTATCTTCCCAATCAATTTGAAGCAAAACCACTTGATCCCATGACAATCCGTGGCACAACCGCAAAATATCCTCAACAGGAAAATCTGTTTTATCCAGGAAAGTACTCTTCACTAACTATATGCACATTTGGAGATAGGATCGGACAAGTTAGCTACTGGGAAAAGGAAAAAAGTGGCATTCTTTGGTACTACCGGTTGCATACATTCATCCTCACACCTATAACATGCCAGCTCCCATAAGAATATCAGTGAGCAGCAGAAAAACAAAACATAACACTACAGCAGACTTAGATCCAGTTATTCTGAAAATCATTCTCAACTGAATACAATTTGACATTAACAAACATGCTCAGAACTCACAGATCCAGAAACCAATTCATTCATCACATCTCAATACAACAGCGAATCAAACTAGAAAGGTGAAAACATAAGTAAAGAAAATAAGCCACAATTAAAGGGGGAGCATACTGTCAGCTGCAGACGCCTTGAGCTGCTCCAGAGCGGTGAGGCTCGACGCCGAAGAAGCTGCATTGATGGGGTCCACCTTCTCGGTCTGAACCAGAGCATCCCGAGAAGCCTCGCACCTGAAAATTCCAGAATTCCTCCTGATCAGCGCTGCTCGCTTGGCCCGAGCAGCGGCCGGCTTGGCGAGCAAGCCGATCTGAGCCGGTGATGCAGACGCAGATAACGAGGACGACGCCGTATTGCCGACCAACAGGGCATCGAGCTTCGCACCCACAAGCGCACTCGACACGGCCATTTATATACCTTTATCGCTGCCGATAAACCAGTTAATTCCAACACCGATTAAATTCCAGCGGATCGCACCCGAAAACCCTAAAAATCAGGGAAAATTTAGGATTGAGGGTTTTTGGTGCGATTTTTATGTGGGATTGATGTTTGGTAAGCAGACATAGGATATGAGGTCGCCGCGAGCTCTGCTCTGATAGATGCGTTTGTCTGTTTATTTTTATTATTTATTTATTTATTTATTTGGGGTGGAGAAAGTGCAGTGGTGAGATTTCTATGAACGCTGATTGGTGGATTGGATTTGGGGGCACGTTTTATCCACACTCACTAAACCCATCACCATTCACCACAAACCTTTGTAATCTATATTACTATACATCAATCACCTATTAAATATTATCACATATTTTATTTTGCAACTTTGCCTATATTTGTGTTGTAATAACTAGTATCATATATTTTGTTTTGCAACTTTTTCTTTGTGTTGTAATAACTAGTGGGATTACGGTTGTGCGTACAAAGTCACTCTCAATTTAGTCGATAATATAAATCGTTAAAATTAGTAAATAAGTATAGACGACAAAAAGGTTTAGAAACTAATTCGAAGTTAAAATAAGTATGTTACAGATTTGTAGGTATTGATGATCGAAGAAGAAGGAGAAGAATAGTCAAAATGGATCGGGAAGAAATGGGGAAATTTCAGACAAGAGATCGAGTTGAAGATTTTGGCAGCTTCGAGATGGCGATGAGTGGAGCAACCGAGGCCGTGGATCGCGATTTAGGAGTGGAGAATCCGAGTGTACACGTGATGGCAACATAAAAAACAGCCTTAGTTATATTTTCCAGTTGTTCCTTAATGTTATTGTTATTATGTATTGGGATTAGTCTTTTACCCAAAGTGAATGAAAACTTGTGGACCCAGGGCCATATCCATTTGGTTAAGTATGAAGAATGAATGGAAAATATGGCAATCTGTTATGCCAAAGTTATTCTAAAATCCATTTAGCAATTCGTTATGCCAAAATTTGTTATGAGAATGGTAGATAGTGAAAGAAATAAAAATAAATTTGTACTATTGGATCAATGGTCATGAAGAAGTCAATTTTATTAAATAATGATCAAACAGATAATGGCAATATCGTAAATAAGTGTGCACATTGTGGTCAAATGTATAAATTTAACCACTTAGTAAGGGCATTCTCGTCATTGCACATTCATCCACTATCCACATGGAGCCCATCAACCACAACATAATTCACATATCTCTCTCTCTCTCTCTCTCACACACACACACACACACACACACACACACACACACACACACACACACAAACACACTCTCAATACACACCCACGCATACACGGAACACACATACAAACACAATCACACTTTCAGAACCGCCGGCGACCACATTCTTTATGTCGGCGGTGTCATAAGCACATTCCTTCCGCCCGTATCATCACCGCCTTCAGTCAATTGGTGTCGATGGCCACCGAGCCCAGCTTGCAGGTGGTCAATCCGACACTGACCAACACAAATTCCGTGGCCACCGACCCGGGGACCGCCAATCAATCGGCGGTTCTCTCCAGCAACCTCTCTTTCGACGTCAAGTGCCTTCGATTCAATGGCTAGTTCGTGTCCTTCTCTACGATTTGGAGCATGCGTCACCGGAGATATTCATCTTCCTTTCCATCTCGCCGCCTCCTTAGAGACATTCGCCTCCGCCAACCACAATCTGGAGACCGATCTGAAGCACCTGAACCTCTGCGTTGTAACTCGAGGAGGCCTGAAGAGAGGCGTGAAAGGCGAATGAGAGCTCCGTTGTGATCCTTAATCAGGTTCCCACTAGTTGTGTCCATTGTCTGGTCGTCGGGTCATCGAGTTCTGTCGGTCTTCGTGGATTTTCGAGCTCGTCCGCTAACAATAGATAATCTATATAAAATAAATTATACAAGTCCTAGACCCAGGGATGGGTTTAAATGCTCGTCTAAATAGAAAAATAAATCTATATTGTGTCCCACCGTGAGAATAAATTTATTACAAGCACTCAGAACCCAAATTCCTCGACAATCTCGAGGATTAAAAAACATACATGAAATTAAGACCATACATTTAAGACCATATCAGTTGATTTAACACTAAAGCATGCAAAACTAGGTTATGCAATAATAATAATCAAATAATTATAAACAACACCTCGAACACATTTAATTCATGCATATTTCACACATAAAGCCTGAAAACCTGAACGCTACACAAAACACGAATTAAACCAAGTGTTCTGATACCACTTGTTGAGGTGCTATTAGAAACGTCGTATTTTATGTAAGTCATGATCACAAAGTCTACGAAAAATTAAATCTAAGCGCAACAGACTAGAGTTAAAATCGAATTGCAGGTTATGAGTTTTTTTTTTTTTATTTCCATTGATGGAGATCATCTGATCGCTCGTTAATCGCCAAATTGGATACGGGTCGCCAGAAGGAGATGATCACCGGTTGAAGCATGTCGGAACGTCATAGGGCGGTCACGGTGGGGGTGGCGACGGTTGTGGGTCACGGTGGCATCGGGCGGTCGTGGGACTTAGGTTTTGGATGCTCGGTTTACCTCAGGACTTCTATTGTGTTACCTCTAGACACTTTGTTTGTTTTTTGTGGCTAACTCACAAAGTTCTCAATTATGATTTTCACCACCACGAGATGTGTATTTATATGCTACAATAAGGACTCTAAAGAGGTTCCATATATGGGCTTACCAAATATAATCAACCGTGGGCCAATCTCACTATGCTCGTATTTGAACGGCTCTGCCGTCCAATAAAGAAAAATCGTTGATATCCCCATTTGGCTTCCACATTACAATTTGAGGCTCTGATAATAATTATTTGATTTATTACCCCGAGTTAAAGATATAATGACCGTCAATTAATTAATTACTTATAATATAATATATTAATTGACTTCTTGTACCGAGACTAGTACCGCTCAATGTTTTATTATTATGTTAGAACTTAATCTACCTATTGCACATGATGACCGTAAATAATCGAACAACACACCATACACACAACATTGCTACCCAAAATACGTCAAACTATTGATCCAACAGAATGGATCTCACTTTTTAGTGAATCAAATTAGCGACTACTGTATGCACGTGTCTGTTTATATCTTACGGATTAAGAGTACGCAGTAATTAATCGATGTCTAGTTTGTTCACCGATCAGTTCAAAACAAACTTATTCTCTTCGGGGTTCGTTCAATGCACACAGTGCACTGGTGCAACCAATCAGTCAAGGCAGACAGTACAATTAACACTACAATCGTTCGCGATGAGTTGTTCGTTTTCATCTAGGTTGTGAACTAATTATTTATGTTTTACAAGTAACTAATATGTGAATTTTTGTCTCACCCGTGATGGACCACAACATCCAAATGTGAGACATCAAAACATAAAACAGTTTAAGTAAACATTATTTTCATTCAAATGAAATATAATGCTTATTATTCAAAATGCTAAGCTTTAAGTATATATTATACCGGTTTTGCTATGAAGTCAACAGTTGGCTCCATAGTGGAGCCAACTTTCTATATACAACAAATAAACCTACTATATTAATAAAATTATATAAATGTTATTTAAGTAATCAGAGAATATGGTAGGTTTACTTATTGTATATAGAAAGTTGGCTACACTATAGAGTCAACTGTTGGCTTCATAACAAAACCGTATATTATACACTAACACTTAAGGTGTCCAAAACCATATACACAAGTGTACAATACAAAATTATATGTTACGTATATAATACTAACCCGAAATCCAGTTTGTCCAAACTGCTGGAATTTTACCAATATTCGGTCCCTCAAAAGCAAACTTATCAACCAAGCCTCCTAAATGCAAAATCACCAATATATGTAGCTTCAAGGTATCAGGTAATCTGTGTAAAATTGTGCTAAACAAAATCTAGTGTCGGCAAACACAAAATTGTTGATCACAAAATTTGATCAACAATTTAGTGTCGGCAATCCAATGATTAAATCGTTAAAATTTAGTGTTTAGCGATAAATTTGCATAAAATGAATAAACATGCGGTCGGATTTTCTATTAATTGAGCTCGGTGGTTCGTCTTAATTACAGTATTTCATGTGGAGATATATGTCATAGTTGCAGGAATGGAGATATATGTCATAGTTGCAGGAATTTATTTTGAACTCCGTTTACAATGGATTCTTAGTACTATTTATAGTAAGATGGCCTGACTATCATTAATCGGGTAGTACAATTGCGCATTAAATGAAAAAGACAAACATTAAATGTTGCACATGACCCTATGAAGCTTTTCGGCGTATGCGGGTAGGCTTTCGTCAGAATTGTCCCGTCATTAATGATATGGATGCAAGAGACCATTATTCTAAGTTTTTTTGTTGCATGAGTGTGCGCCGCTCGGGTCTTTGCGAATGGATCTTGCTCGATTTAGCCAGTTCTTGAACTCGGCTATTCTGGATAGTAGCATCTTGTCCAGGTTTCTTATTTGTTTACCCAAGTACATGTTGTCGTGTATGTTACGGTGTACATTCAACTCGGACCGCTGTCAGATCGAACCTCCGCTTGTTCACATAGATCTTCTGATATGGTGATGTTTGTTTTTCAGTTGGTCGATCCTCGACCAACTGTCCTCTTAGATTGGACCCCTTTCATACCATGCTCGGTACTTGCATTCTCATTCCTAGTACCCATTACTCCTTCGTGAGTCTCTAACTTGAACTCGATACTTTGACGATTTTTATTTACGTAATTGCATTAATCAACTCCGCATTTTTTTAATTCAGCTCGAATGTCAACAAAAACATTGTTTAATGAAAGCATAGATAGAAAGTCAAATAGCTAATTTGTAAGTCTACTAATTTTAATTCAATTAGCGAATTTATGACAATTAATTTTCTGAAAATTTGACAAAATTTGACAATTAATTTTCTGAAATTTGACTCTCCACCGCAGTGTTACAA